CAGTATTCCATCCTACCTCTCCAGTAATCCCCATGTTCGGTAGTCACTGACCTTCCTGACCTGTACAGCAATACCCCTTATCTATCCTACAAGTGCATTAATCCCTAAGTGTTCATTCCTCCTCCCGGCTTTCTTCCCAAACCGTCCGACTTTGGCATTTTCTTACCAGGAACTAATACTAGTTTCACCATCAATACTGACTTCAACATCCCATGTTAAAGTAAGAATTATAAAAAATGATATACACATCACTATAAAAGTGATGATATAAAAACAAATGTTTATCTCCTTCCTATCACCATTACATGCACTTTTCACTTTTAATCTGTGCCTTGTAAGATACTGCCACCATGGTACAGTGGATCTGAATAAGAGACAGAAGTGTTAAACACATTAAGTTCTTGCTACATTAGACCTGTAAATGTACACAAAACAGTAAAACGTTTCTTTTACTGGATTAAGTATACACCTATAGTAAATTGAAATCAAGTTCCTATGTACTTGCATGTACATAATTAGCTCTTTCCATTTATTATAACAAAGTGTAAGTTCAAGAATACTTCGATCTTAAAGTAGATATCTTCTAGAAATTGGATTAGCAAATTATTAAGTGGAAAAAATGCATCTAACAAACTATATGAACATAAATACATGGCTTCTTCTTAAACAAATAGTAAGCTACTATTTTGTTTGTATCTTTAATATATACAAGATCTGAATATAATTTACACTTTTTTTTAATAAGGGTATCTAAAACAAAATGATCAATTCCAAATCACTAGCTTACCCAGTATTGGCCACCATTCTCTCCAAGTTCAACTAAGAAACTGGAACCAAGCTCTTCCTCCAAAATAAGACTTGCCCAGATAAGATAGCGTATGAACTTTAAACCATATAGCCTATTATATAACGTGATTGATAACATACTGGCAGTGACTGGTATGGCACAACTAATAGCATAACTAGTGATATAAAACTGATAAACATACCGGACCCTTCTCTTCAAAAAATACTGATATCTCTTTGGTTGAAAATTGTGTGATTTCCGATTTATAGTAAATGTGACTACTTCAGATTAGAAATGACAAACAAATATCAAAACTAGCAAGTGATAAATAATAAAATCATCAGAGTCAAGTTAAATAAAAAAATCACAAGTATTGATGTATACTATCACATATTATATATATATGTATATATATATAATTTATATATATATATATATATATATATATATATATATATATATATATATATATATATATATATATATATAAATATATATATATATATATATATATAAATATATATATATATATATAAATATATATAAATATATATATAAATATATATAAATATATATAAATATATATATATATATATATATATATATATATATATATATATATAATCTATATATATATATATATATATAATCTATATATATATATATATATATATAATCTATATATATATATATATATATATAATCTATATATATATATATATATATATATATATATATATATATATATATATATATATATATATATATATATATATATATATATATATATATATATATATAAATGTATGTATGTATATGAGTATATATATGTATATCATATATGTATAATACATATATCTATATTATATATGTATATATATGTATACATTTATATGTATATACATATGTATATATATATATATGTATATATATTTACATACATATATCCCTCCATCGTGTGTACGTGCGCATGTGCGTGTGTGTGTGTGTGTGCATATGATGGAGGGATATATGTATGTATATATATAATATATATACATATATACATACATATATATAAATATATATATAAATATATATATATAGAGAGAGAGCTATAAGTGAAGATCAAACACTAGAGCTGAAATAATTAAGTGTTACTTTAATCTTGTAGGTAATGGACACTCCCTTGACAACATAGCCAAAAACTATTCTTTAGTGTCTTTTAATCATTATCACCAATATCTATATTTAATCTGGGAAATATTTCTGATGGAAATTGCCCTTGAAGTGTGCGTGGCCACTAAACAAAAGCTGAATACTCAGGTCTGCAAAATTCTTTGGAACCTATTTTACAAATGATGTCAGAGATGTACTTGTTCCGTCTTCACAATATTAACTGTCAAGGCTTTGTGATGTTCAAATGACTATGTCATTCAGAGCCAACTGTGGTATAGTGATATGTAAACGGCTGTACTAGTTCAGTATGGCATGATACACTTGTTTTTTTTTTTAATTTAATGTAAAAAATACAGAGAGGTGGATGGATGTGGGATTCATGGGGTACATACATATAGGAACAAATTTTGACCTGCGATAGAGTTTATTTTGACACTTTCTCCATTCCAATCCAGTATTCATGGTGACTTCAAGGATGTGTAAATGTCAAAAAATCATTTATAGCATATTTCCAGACAAAAAAACAAAATGAAAAATATGATCAGTGAAAAGATGTGAGATTAGTTTCTAATATGAAATTGATAACTGTAGGGGTTGAGATGTGTTGGAGTAAACAAATCCAAAATATTTGTGAGATGGGCAGAGCAAGCCTAGGGGAATATACTGAATGTTAAAAGCTTCCAAATATACAAAAATGATCCAAGTGCACTAAATCACAAATTTCTTTACAAAACAAATACTGCCCTAATGCCTACTAACAATCACTTTTCTTTCAGTTTAGCGAGTGAGAAATAAAGTCTAAAACAGAAAGTATATTTCTCTGGTTAACAAAGGAGGAAAAAAAGCCAGGCCTTATAGAAGAAGAAGAAGAAGAAGAAGAAGAAGAAGAAGAAGAAAAGGTATATTTCCCTGACTTTCAAAAGTATCCAAGCTCAGAGTCCTCATGAGCATTTGATGTGAGACTTCACTTGCCCAACCACTGAAGAGTCAATGTATTTTCCCTATCTTAGACTGATCATTGGGTAAATGTATACCAAAGTATTATGTTACATAACTTTCTAATTATCACTTACCAAAAGAAATACCATAGATAGCTATACATTTACAAAATGACTGCATTAAGACAGAGAAAATCTATGGACATTGTCAATAATTCAAATAATTTATGAAAGAAAAGAATTGTGTCAGAAATGAAGAATATAAGCTGGGTTGTGGGGGGGTTGGCAAAGCTCCAGATTTAGGTTTTGAGATAATTTTAAAGCTTCACACAGCAAACCAACCTTTCAAATATTCTCCCTCCCCAGACCCAACCTGACTGCTATGAGTTTACCCTCTGGTCAGCATTTTTAAAGCTCTGTTTCCTTCATTTCTGATATTATCATTTGCCTTGGCAGATTATTTCATGTATAACTGATTGCCATCCTGTATAACTAGTGTCATCTGATTTTCCTGGAAATACATACCAAATTATTAAGTGCAGCACAACTTTCTTCTTAGCAACTTGCCAAAGAATTAACAAAAATGAAATCTTTATTTTCTGTTGTTCTGTCCTTTACAGGCAATGTTTACCTTGTGCAATATGACCATGTGAAAATGAAATAAAACCAGTTTTTGATTCCTATACTGATGTTTGAGGATTCCTAGGTGTACTCCCAATGTTGCTGGCCAGAGTACTGGGACCCATTCTTGGAGGGAGTGGTCGCCTTGTTATCAATTATCATATCTTAAATTTTGTCTTTGAAATTGGTACAGGTAAAGTTTCCCTAGTACCATATGGCTGCATGAAACAAACTCTACCAAATATAACTTAGCCAAAACAGTTTATTTCCTTTATCCTTTATTTCTTGGACTTGTGTTGACTCTAAGGTCACCGCTCCCTTCAAGCATCAGCTACTACTGCCGATATCTATTCTGCTACTCTTGTTATTAGTTTCGTTCAAATAGTTGGTAATTTTCTAGGATACCTTCACGATGGATTCCTCAATCTCTGCTATCCAAATATATCAAAATTACGCCTCAGAAACCCCCCTTTAGCAACCATATTGGCCCTGATAGCACGAGATGGCATGAAAGGTATATGGAAAATTGTGGGGGAAAATATGGATGATATACACAGAAAAAGACACTGCAGTCTCCATCACCCATCACCTATTTCACACGCAAATATCTAAATCTTGTACTGATAACTTCTTATCTTGACCAATAAATTCTCAATAAGTTGTCAGAACCCTCACTGTCTCTGTTCACAGGAATTGTGACCACCATTCTTTTTTGTTGGGCTGTGGCTACATTTACAGTAGTGTAATGCAATGTCTATTGATCATTTTTTGAGGAATTCCAGCTGCATGTGTGTAGTGTGGAATTCACAAACTCCACTGTTGTAACCACATTACCGAATCAATCATTATATCATACCTTATACACAGCCTAACCATAAAGAGACTGATTTAAATTTCAACTGACTCCCCTTGGGTCCAGCTTTTATTGTCACATGATTAACCATTACAAATAGTATTGGTTCTAATAGACTGGTCGCCAGTGCCTCTCATGCTGTAAAGGCCAAGTGCCGTGCCCACTGGCTCATTTGATTTCCCTCGCTTACGTCATCCACTACAATTACGTCTGACCCTTTCATCGTGTCCTCTATCTTGCGTCATTTCTTCTCATCGGTGGAAGAGCACGTGTCACGGAGGACCTAGAATTTTTGAGTTTTACATCCCGTCTCCTCCCCTGAATAGTTTGCAATGAAAATGCTATGCAAGAGAAGTGTCTTAGAACGTTCAAGTTGGCAAGATCAGATAATTCATCTTTGGTGTTAGGTATTTCCAGTAATACCACAATTGCTTATGCTAACATATTCCAGAAAATATCTGGTGCACATCACCACCAAGGCACTAAGTCTGCAAACACTCTCGACAGCCAGTTCTTAACATTGCATTTTTTTATAAGTTGGCAGAAAGTGCTAAAATAAGGGTACAGTGGGGGTTGCCCCGTCCAGGTATTAACCCAATGACGTCAGGTGTACAAAAAAAAACAAAAAAACTCTACGCTCTAG